ATATTTTAGTATTTTAAAAATGTGTCGAGCAATTACGAGCTTATCACAAAGTCGGTTGCAATTCTTTTTTAAATTTTACCATTTATATAAAAACTTTAAGTCTTTTCTCTTGGCCAATATCCCTTTTCTGCAACGAAAACCTTTTAAAAGCTCACTGCATCCGTTGGAATAGATCTCCACTCGCCTGAAGGAGAACTGCTGCAATGTCGGCGTTCTGCAGTGATACTCCACTGTATCTATGTTATTTCTCATTAATTTATTTAATAAAATTTTTAGTGATTAATTGGGAAGTCGTATCAGAAGAAATGGTAAAAATCAAAGAATAATGGCTGAAAATTGGTGCAAAAATGGTCAAAAAAGAATCAAACGAGAATTGAAGCGAATGAATTGAGTAGACTTTGTGACGACCTTTAAACAACAACGCCACCCATGTAAATTCCATTTAAAAATTATAAAATTGATAATTGATAATTGTCATAAATAATTGTGAAATAATTAAAAGTGATTCCACGTAGATTTTTGAAGGTTAATTCCCTTTCCGGTTTAAATTAAACCAAAAATTAAGGTTATTTTTTTTCTAAAGAATTGGTTTTTTCTAAATTCAAATAATTCATCGATTTTAAATGAATTCGATAAATGAATTTCGTTCATTTGACTTTCCCCAAAACTATTTTCCCGTCAAACTTTTTTATGAGATTTTTAAAAATATTCAATATTTTGTGGATTGAATAATTTCTAGGAAAAAAATTATTAGAATCAACATTGATAAAATTAATTAAGCACATAAAATTTTAAACATTTCATTAATCAATCATATTTTGACATAATTAACGACAAATTTCTTATCGGATTTCTTTATCAATCTCATTACGAATGATATGATAAAATGATATATTTTGATAATAGAACCAATTGTTCCATCATTTTTCACATTGCTTATATTAAAATTTTTCGCAATTATACGAAAAAAACAAAAAACCAAAAATAAAAAATAAATTTTTTATATTGTCAAATTATGTACGTCGATTAATTTGTTTTTTTGATAAAATGATTCCAAATGATAAAGTTTGGCCGAAAAAAAAATTTTGATAAATAATAAATAATAAAATAGAACCAATTGTTCCATCATTTTTCACATTGCTTATATTAAAATTTTTCGCAATTATACGAAAAAAACAAAAAACCAAAAATAAAAAATAAATTTTTTATATTGTCAAATTATGTACGTCGATTAATTTGTTTTTTTGATAAAATGATTCAAAATGATAAAGTTTAGCCGAAAAAAAAATTTTGTAAATAATAAATAATAAAATTAAATAAAATTTATAATAATATAGTAAATAATAAAATTTGTAGAAATTTTAAGGCAAACATAATGACCGACCGCGACGACCTATTTGTTATTCAAATTTTATAATATCCAAGTAAAAACTTAAACCGATTAAATTCTTCCTTATCAGCGCTTCTTGTATAAATTTCATTGTTAATATTGCCAGTATTTGTGCTATGTAGAAATATTATGTAAAAGGAAAAATTTGAAAGGAATTTATAAGATTTATAGGATACGATTGGATTTGCTTACTACTTTATCTTCCTTCATATTATATGTTATACAAAATCAAATGGTTTAAATTTTTGAAATGTGACAAAACAAAAAAAACAAAGATTTATAAACAAGCTTAATGAAAAGGAAATTTACATAAATGTTCGTAGGCTCATCTCGCAATGCCAATATTAGGATTCCACTTCAACTAGGAGTAAGTCAATCGGTGTTTTAGAAATCCGAGTTGTACTACCAACTTGCATGCATCTTTATCAAATGAATTCTCTAGCAAATTAGGAGGTGGCCTGATAAGCCAGCAGGAAGAATTAATTAATCTGAAAAGTCATTGCAAGTTGCGAGGAAAAAAAAAACAATAAATATACTAATAGGAAGAGCAATAAAAAAATAATAAATGAAAACAATTGAATTCATTTGAACTGAGCGATATTATTTAAATTATTTTCCAAATTAAATATGGAAAAAAGAATTATTTGAGAAAATTTATTTATAGAAATGAAAATGATGAAATGATTGATTTAGCATTTTTTGCATAAATTAAATTAAATCAAATCAAAAAAATTTAAGTACCACAATAAAAATTAGTTAAAATAATAACAATAAAATGCGGGGTTAAAGGGGGATTGAAATGGTCGCTATCAAATTTTTTGCGTCTGATTTAATTTCTCTTGATAAATTAATTCTTGTTCAATGATTAGCCAATTTCCGCCCTTCGTTTTGTCCTTTTGTATGAGATTTTTCAGTTCGTCACTCTGAAATATTGTTCGAGAGTCTTCAAAAAATCCGATTATTGCTTTTGATAAGTAACAATAAATGATAAGGTAACTTTTTTTGTAAATTGTTATATTTGGTCTTTCTTATTTTAAAATAGCAAAATTTAAGATAATTTTAAACAGAATTTTAAATAAAAATTACTAAAAAAATATTGTTTCTCATCCATACTTGGTCATTAAGCGAGAAAATCTCTAATAACTTAACAATGAACTAATAAGGAAATAAATTTAATTCAAACTAATGGTACCACTTTTGGTCAATAATTCGACCACAGCGCATTTGCACGATTGGATAGCATATTGAGGATAGCAGATTGCCGAATAAAACTTCAGTGCGATATTTCTCTCAATCCATTCTTAACCATTCTTGATCGCTAAGCAAGAATGACCACATGGACAAGCAACAATTCTTGGCAAATTGTTGCCGGAGAATATGCTTTTGTCACGTATTTGGCAATAATTCAACATTTGAATGCTTGAAAAGAATGTTAAAGTAAAGAAATAAGCATGCATAACTTAACCAAATGGTTCCATGGAAAATCACTTCCGTAATCCTAAAATGCCTATAAAATAAGCCTAGAAAATAGAATTTTGACTGGAAATTCGTAATTTAACATGGCTATTTTTAATTTTTTTCCTTCTAATTTATTTATTCCATTATTAACGAACACGCTAATGCTAATGCTGTTCACTAATGTTCTTCATTCTTAACTAAACGCTTGATTAAGAATGATCCAATAAATAGGGAAAATGCTATTTGCACACAATGATACAATAATCCTTCATTTTCAAAAATTATTGCATTTCAGTGTGCTTTCCTTTTCCCTCTCAGGAACGCATAAAAGTAGATTTAACAGATCAAATAGATTAATAACAGAAGCCGATAATATGCACAAAAAATTTATAAATAATATTAATTATTTCAATTTAATTCGAGTGCCCCCCTATTCATTCTCTTAAGCCATTAATAAAGGATGACCATTGTCCAATAAATAGGGAAATGCTATCAGCACATGGACAAGCAACAATTCTTGGCAAATTGTTGCCGGAGAATATGCTTTTGTCATATATTTGGCAATAATTCAACAATAATATAAACAACAGCTTTTTCTATTTCCATAATTAAACGGAAGACGAACGACAATTTATTCGCCTAACCGTTTTGAAGTGAATTATTCTCAGACAAACGTTTGAAGCAAATATTTCATCGTTACAAGCAAATGGCAAATTTATATTGTTCCACAAAAATTATATAAAAATAACCAATAATACCGCAAAGTTACGTTAAACCTAAACAATAAACAATAATATTTTAAAATCCATAAATTTTTATTCCACAAATTCCATAAATACTCCATGAATCTCATATCGAAGAAGAAAGTTCCAAGAACGCAGAAACCACCCTCAATTCTCAAAACCTCCCACATCTCCCACAATTCCCCACATTGAGAAATTGTATATTATTTGTATTTACGTGCAGTTTATATAGCAGTGGCTTTGCCTTAAAGCAACTTTCTTCGCGCAAACCGATGAAATTATTTCGATCAAATATTTCAATCTATCTGCACTATCGAATTTAAAATTGCTAAAATTAGCCGAATTTCATGCCTTGGGGGTAGAATTAAGGGAAATCAATTCTTTAGTTGATGCCAATTGCAAAAAAAATTTTGTATTATTAAAACAATAATAATTTTATGAAAAAAATTTTTGATTTATCTCACGATTTTTTTTCGTTTTAATTGTTTTTTTAAATTTTATTTCATTGAAAAAATTTTTTTTATTAATACTTTTTAATTTTATTTTAATAAACTTGTAATTTTACTAAATTATGCCGAAATTTCCCTCCGCGCACCCCTCGCTCGGCCACCGTCTCCGTTCCATATTATATTTGTATTTGAATTATTATATTTGAATTGATTTATTATAAATGATTTATAAACATTTCGTGCTGAATTCATTTGATTTTGATTGGCGAAAGAAATTCTTTGATTTAGAAATTCAGTGAATGATGGAATTCATAGAAATTTCTATTTTGTTCTATTCCTTATGCAATTAAAATTCGATTTAGATTGGAAATATTATTGATGTTGGCCAAATTTTTTATGGTTTTATGGTACCTACAATACAACGTTTTAGGTAATTTTTAGCGATAGATTTTCCAGTATTTTGGTGCTTAAATAATGGTACTTTCAACGAAAGTACCATTCATAGTCGCTTTTCATTTATTTTCTAAGAAAAAAGTTAGTTACCGCGAAATCTACCGCGAAAAAAAGGCAATTAAACTTATCTAACGATGGAATTAATTAAAATTTAAAATTTGGTGGAATAATTATTTGGAACGAAGGTTTATATTGAATTTAAATAATTCTTTAAATAACTTTGCAATATAAAAAAAACTTTAAAATTATTAAATTATTTATTATTTAAATTATTTATATAAAATTATATAAAATGTAATATAAAATTATTTTAAAAAAACTATAAAACTCGTATAAATTTTTTTAAAAAGATTGGAAACCTTGATAGATCTTTTTTACTGCTATGGAACTTTGGTAAATAAGATTTATTTAATAAAGTTTTATTCTTATATATATCGAATTTTAGAATGAATGTGATTGAACTGTTTTCTTCTTTTTTTTTCAGGAAATCAAATAAATGAAAGACGATTGCCAATTTTTCATCGAAATTATAAAAATTATCGAAATCTTTTAATAAAATCTGAACCGCCTAATGGTTACATAAAACATTGGATTACAAAGGAGCATAACAAATTTCGAAGAATTGTGAGATTTAATTTTTATTATAAAAAAATTTAAAAGAAATTTAGCACAATGAATTTTCTGGAAAATGGCAACTGCAATTTAAGTGGCAACTAGGATTCATACTTTTTTATGGCTGAGCCTGCTCGACTGTCTATTAGTAGGGAAGTTGGCGAAGGATGAAGTCGACTTCGGCTTTTCCTAGCAAAAGACTTGAAGCCTCAAAATGGCATGCTGCAATAGTGGACAATGAGCAACTTAAATAGATCTTAGTCATCAACAAACCAGTTTTCTAGTTTGTTTCTGAGACAAACTGTACATTTCGCTAATTTTGTGAGATATTCGTAGTCTGAACGGCTACTTATTAATGAGACAACACAATACGACATTCCTTCTCGACAATGCGTATTCTTTTTACGGTGTTTGCTTAATGGACAGGTAAATTTATGAAATATTCAGTAATGAAAAAGATATGGTCACTCGAATTTTATAGAAACAATGCGGTAAATTTTTACAGTATAGCCTGAATAGCTAATAAATCCTATCATCTTCTGGTCTTTTGCTTTAAACTTGTTTTATTTTTAGGTACCAGCTAGCGATATGCAAATGCTGTATTGGTCGAATGAATTGGCTAGAAGCGCACAGAGACACGCTAATCGATGTGATTTCAGGTATTTCAACAAAATAGTCATTACTAATATTATTTGAAAAAGTTTCTATTGCTATCGACGATGGCATCAGATCGCGCAGCTTGGAAACATTTTACCATAGTTGCCAGTGGAGCCAGTCTAAGTAGTAATGGTGAGAGCTGTTAGAAGAAGAAGATTATTAGAAAAAATCTTTCCGTGAATGTGGATCTAGTTATATTCTTTAATGCAATTCTTCTTTACATGTGGCCACTCGTTAAATTCCTATATTTCTCTCCAAATACACCTCAATTCTCATAGTATTCGTGGAATAGCGCGACGAAAGTACATAAAGCAGATAAAGTGATATCGCTAAAATGCCACAGGAGTTCCACTCATACAATCGACTTTGCTTTAGGCTGGTGCTATGTTAAGAACACTAACTTAACAAGTAACTTTTTTATCATGAAGGATATTTTATTTAGGCATAGTCGTGATCGAGTTAATGTTGGAGAAAATATTTGGGCAGCACCATATTCAAATTATTCAAATGCAATACGTTTGTGGTTCGATGAAGTTTATGATAAGAAATGTGACTGTAAACATGCATATAAACATTGTTGCGGTCATTATGTTCAAGTATTTCTTCTGATAATTTTTGATAATAATTTCTGCCATCTAAACAAAGAAGATTGAAATATGAATGCAATATTCTGAATAATCATTTAAATTTTGTATTACGATTTAAGGTTGTATGGGCTGAAACGAATTTAGTTGGCTGTGGTTATGCGCATTGCCATGATATTCTAGGCGTTTTAGGCCACGGTCATCGTCATATCTTTGTATGTCACTATAATCCTCAAGGAAATACGGTATTAGTGACAAGTAGAGGAGAACTAATTGCGGTCACTTATTTCATTGATAATAAATACAATAAATTAAATAGAATGATAATATTGATAAATAATAATGATAATAATAATAAAATGCATGGCTGTATATATGAAAATTCTGTTTATAAAATGGCCAAGTTATAGCTAAACTGGGCTTTATGGCCACCTATACGGCCAATGACGACTGTCGTGACTATCTAATTTGAACTACACATTTTTAACCACTATTTATTAAATATTATATTAATGGAAAAATATTAAATGGAAAAAATTAAATATTTTTTAAAATTTGAAAACTTGAAAACACTGTGGAGGGTTCGTAAATTTTTATGGTATCGCCCAAGAGGTACTTAGTAAAAAATAACTTGTCGACTACTGGTCTATGAGCTGTAATAGATTTGCATATTACTTTAGGTACCAGCATTTACTTGGTCAAATGACGAAAAAAGATGCACGAAATGCCCAGAAGATGCTCCAGCTTGTTTTGATGGTCTATGTTATGCGCCAAACAGTGAATAAGCCTTCGTCTATTTTCGACTTGATTATCATAAATCAACCAAAGTGCAATTCGCTTCTTCCAGATCGATCGCTTCAAAGTTGTAATTTGTTGTGTTCTTAGATTTGCTATATTATATTCAAAAATATTTATCTTTTATTATGTATCTTTTATTTAAATTTTTGGCCAAAAAAATGACTTGGGTATGACTTGGGTACCTATTTATTCCTCACTTGTTGCTTGGACTCTTTCTAAGCATTCACTCTCACCAGATTTCAGGAATAATTATTGGGATTGCAGTTTGATATTATCAAAATGAAATAAGAATGACAAAGACATAAGAATTTTATATATGATTTTCAGCACGTATCTTGCTTTTACATTTTTTTTGGATTTCTGGATTGCTTTGAGTTTTTTTTCACCAAAGGTAACGAAAGGTTTAGTTGAAGCCAATATTCATGCATTCTTTCGAAGAAATCCTTAGGAATTACATCGATATAAAAATGTTTTTTTTGATGCAAAATTGTTTTATAAAAATTATTTTTTTCATTATATTAGATTTCTTCTTCTTCTTCTAATGCATTATTACTGGTTAAGTTGGCTCCAACGGTAAGACGCTTCCAAGCGGTGCGGTCTGATGCAATCGTCAACAGTAATGGAAGCCATTCCTTTTTCCATTGTCTAAGTCCATATATTGCTGGTGCACCTATACGTTCAAAATCTTTTCTCACCGTATCAGTTCAGATCTTTATTGATTTTTGTTTTTACCAAACAACGATTATAAAATTACAATAAATAAATTATATTAGATTTATTCTAATTTAAATAATTTTGATTATTTCGATTAAAATGTTTTAAATAAAGAAAAAGAAAAAGAAGAAAGGAAAAAAAAGAAAAAGGAACTTTTTAAAGAATTTTTTCAATTCAATAAATAAAAATATATAAAAATTTTTGGCTAATAACTATCAAAACTATCGTAGTTAATAATCGGAAAATCCTTCTTAAATTTTTAAATTTAAACTTTTTTTAAAATAATTAAATCCTATACGAATTCGTGACCATCTTCACTCTACTTCATCACATTCCTTAAAATTAAAACTGATAATTGTTTGTTTGATGCATATTTTATGATATGATATGAGCGTATTGGGTGACCAATGAAACAATTCATTTTCAATCATTTTGTTTGTCATCGCATTTTTTACTGCAGTCACATCGATCAAATGCATGAAATTTCATGATGCCTGAATGATTGAATAATTAATGCGCAACAAGCATACTCTTTTATTTTTATAAATAGACAAACCATCTAAAAACTTTAAAATATTAAAAAAATAATTGCAATTCATAAAGCTACTACATATTTTATTTTCTTTTTTATAATTAATCGTTTTTTTGAAGGCTTTTTCGTTTTTTGTCAATATCCTTCCTTTCACTGAAATAGTAAAAAATGGCTGAAATGGCAAAAAATGGCTTTAGAGAAAGAAAAATGATAAAGTAAAAAATGGAGGATATTAATAAGAACAATAAGGAGTTTAATAAGCGTACTGAACGATTGAGGTAAAAAATGGTACTAAGAATAGGGGTATAAGGGAGTATTACGAGTTTAACCTGCAAATATATGTCCTATAATGAAAATAAGGCATTCATGAAATGATTAAATCGATCAAATGACAGCCAATATTAATGGATAGCCTCACGTCTTACACGAGATGACCTCACGTATTAATACGCGTTATTTACGATATGCAATATAAATAATTCAATTAAATTTTATTATTTACAATATTCTATAATATTCTCTCCTTTGTTTTTTATATTTCTGTTATAATTTTCACGTTTTTTCCACGTTTGTGGCATTTTTCACGTTTTTATATGTATAGTGTTTGTGGCTTATTTAAATAAAGATTTAAATAATTATGACTAGAACTAGTGATAAAAAAGAAATATTTCAGTAATAATGCTATAATAAATGTGAATTTACGTGAAATGAAATTTCTACTAAATTCTTGAATCCTTTAGTCTCTATGAAATTATAGTTTGATACCGGGAAATAAGGAATCGCTGGAGTCCAAAAGATCGCTTACTTTTTTTCTTTAGCCTAAGCGTTAGCCAAAAAATTCATGAACTACTTGGCCAAATTGCGTAATTTTCAAGTGGCAATTGTATTCGCATAATATTTTTTCTTTTCACAGTATGATAATAATGATAATGGTAATGATAACAAACGAATTTTTATCAACGAATAATAAATATTATTGTTCAATAATAATATAAATATGTAATAATTTTTAGTGTTATAAATAATATTTTAAGAATAATGATTATTTACGCATTTTTTCCCTATGAATTCCTCAAATTTTATTTTATTCGGTAAAGCAAACGTGAAGAGAAAATAGCAAATAGTAAAATTAAATATTCAGCTATATTTCAAAGCAATTGGGTTCAAAGCAAGGATATTTCTATAATCCATAAGGCGAAATTTACAAGAAATTTTTGGAAAAAATTAAAAATTATTTGCACATTTCAAAAGAAATAGTTGGTTTTTTATTTTAAAAAAATTCGTGATAATTCAAAAATAAATGAAAATTTTCATATAAAATTGGAAATAATTGGAAATTATTTTGTTCGGCCAAAATATTCAAGTTAGCGAACTCGAGAGGCTTAGAAGTATTTTATCCATGAAGCGGCTTATCACCAATGATGATATGATTTATTATATGATTATTTTTATTAAGAATTATTATAAGAATGGTTATTAAGAATGGTTTTAATATTATGCGAAATATATCCAAATTTAACAGTCTAAAATTATTAAAATCTGTATCTAAATCTTCATAAATATTATTTAAAAATTATCAATATGATAATTTTACCTTATTAACTAATTAGATGGACAATATTGCTGAAATGCGTATTGATGCGTCAGGAGGGAATCGAGGTTTGAGTTCCGATCTGTCGATGTACCATTCTTTGTCGAGCAACATTACCTAACAAAAACAGAAGAGAGAAACAGAATGGCTCAGTGAGTTGTTGCTCAATTCGAAGCACCGATGTTAAGATTCTATTTCTGGTAAAAATAAATTTATCCAAAAATCTGGGTCATACTAGCGATTCATCTATGCTTCTATCGCTAAATGACTCGCTAGCAATTTTATCTACAAGCAACAAGCCAGAGAAGCAAATAGCCTATATTTTTGCTGATTTGGCTCGTTACACTGGTGCTTAGAGCAATTTCCTCCCAATCACCTAGATTATCATTTTAAGTGCTTAGTGAAATATGTTTTAATGATAAATTATAACTATTTATTTATTTAGTTAAAGGCTAATTTACTAATTTTTTTTGGCAAAATTTTTTCTTATCCCTTATCTTTTCTAATATTGATAATTATCTTTTCGATTTTTTTCATTAATCTTATTTATAATTTTTATCACTATTTTCATCATTGGGTATTTTTCATGCAATACGATAATTCGTTACTTATTTATTTTATTATTAATTTATTATCTTGCACAATCGATGTGGGTTTTTTTTGCTATTCATTGATAAACTTGTTTGTTGATTATCTATTGAAATGAAAATCAATTTTGATCAGTTTTGTTTAGTCGCATTATATTTTCATTGGGTTTCTTTTTTTTTTTATAATTTTAGAAATGAACATATAATTTTGAAATTATAAATTTGAAATATGGGATAATTTCGGGATAGAATAGCTCAGTGGGTTGTTGCTCAATTAGGAGCGCTGATGTTGAGGTTCGATTTCCCGCAGGATTAAACTTGTGCAAAAATCAGGGTGATACTGGCGATTCACCTGTATTTCTATCGTCAAGAGACTCCCTGGCATATTATCCAATGCGACAAGCCAGTGGAGCGAGTTTAGCCAGTAATGGTGAGGAATCTTAAAAAAAAAAAAAACTGGCCTCACTAGATAGCCGTTTGGCTGACTTGGCATTTACTGGTTTTATTAGGCAATCGTTTGGCTGACTTTACTGGCTATATATTTTGAAATATAATTATTTGGAAAGTGAACTACAAATGTGTTACTTTGATAGTCATTTAGGGATAGAACCACGAGACTCTTACGAGACACTATTCCAATTTCACTTTTACTGTTATATATATACCTATCAAAGTTTAAGAGTGTGTTATTTAATATCAATTTAAAATTTCGTACCACATAGCTATACTGTGATTTTAAAGTCATTCCTACTTAATTCCAATCATCTTCTTCTTTGTAAAATATTCATCATTTGGTTAACTTCATTTTCTAATAAGACAACACATAAATACAGCGAAGTTACTGGTACCACTTCATCATTCACATTTTCACTTTACTTATTTTGCCTTTATTAGATTGTCGTTTGGCTGGCTTTACAAGATGGTTATTCGGAAATAGAACCACAAATGGGTTACTTTAATAATTCGTATTTTTTCATTTTCTCTTTTTTTACTTATTATTTGAACGGAATATTCATTCTTCATAGCTAATTATTTCACCTTCTATAATTTCTTATATTGGAACTATATTGGAACTTTGTGATTTTCTTCAATAGCCAATTGCTTGGCTAAAAGTGACGATTAGCTGTAGGTGGTTGATCTATTGAAAGGCTAAATCAGGCTAATTTTTATTTATATTTCTTAATTTTTCTATTTTATAGTTCTGAATTTTTATTATCACGTCTTTCTCGATCTCGATTAATTTTAAAATTTATCAGTTTCTCTAGCAAATTATCTCAATTATCTTTGCTTTTTTTTTTTTCTTTCTGCAGCAACATGCACTATTATTGGTTTACTTGGTATCCCACAAGAGTTTTCAAGCTAAATCCGATGAATATTATAAAATCACAGCTAAGGAAAATCGCGTAAAACTTTGTATCGTTGAAATGCCTAAACGCATGTTTAAAATTTCTTCTGATTATCTAAATTATCTTTTTTATCACAATTTCTTCCTTTTAAATCCAAATGAAGCTAATCTATTCTTTTTCATTAATAATTTTTCACACTTCACGTTATTTTATTAAATAGTTAAATTAGTATTGCTTATCTGTTATAAATCTTATCATCTGTGTTTCTCCTGCGTATCCTGATAATAATTACTATTCACGTGTAGCCAGTTTATAAATCTTATCAGTTGTGTTAGTCGTATCCTAGTAATGATTACTATTCACGTGATTGATTATGCCCGTATTACCATTCTTCTTCTTCTTCTTAACAGCTTTCACCATTACTGGTTAAACTCGCTACGCTGGTTTCAAGAGTAAGGCTTCAAACTATTCGATCCGACACTATCGTCGATAGTTATACAAATATTTCTTTTTCCATCGTCTAAGTCCACATGTTACTGGTCTCCCATACGTTCAAAATCTTTTCTAACCGTATATCCAAGCATTGATTAGCCATCGATCACACGGTTTAATGAAATATGTGTCTCAATCTCTCGTGATGGACGACGAAGAACCAGTGAAGGTGACGCTTTGTGATGGTATTGTGACATTGATCCATGTGATATTTATGTGAAGATGGATACAATCATATGAGACCTATCACCATTAGTCTATTAATTTTTTATATCATATCAATTATCAGTTATGTTTTTTTTGATTTAGTAATTTATTTTTTATTAATTTTTTATCAAAAATATTATTTTAATTGCTAATATTATTAAAATTGTTATCTTAATTACTATCATTATTGCAACTTTTTTGAGAAATTTCCATTTTTTTATACAAATTTTATCGAAATACATTAGCCAATTTGAATTATTACTTTTTTATATCATATCAATTATCATTTATGTTCTTTTTTTGATTTAGTAATTTATTTTTCATTAATTTCTCATCAAAAATATTATCTTAATTGCTAATATTATTAAAATTACTATTTTAAATATAATATTATTGTAATAAAATAAATATAATATAATATTGTTTTAAATATTATTATTGCAATTTTTTTCCAATAGTTTCAGTTGAAGAGATTTGGTTATCGTTTTTTTTTATACGAATAAGCCTAGAAGAGAAATTCAGTGCATTTGTCCAAATGATAAGACTCCAAATGATAAAATTTCCTCAATCACCAACAATTTTTTGTGCTACTCATATTTAGGATTACTTATTAGATTCTTATAAATCTTTTTGACCTTCTTGGCTATCATTTGCTATTCAATGATGATAATAAACTTTTTTAATCCTTTTTTAGCCAATAATCTTTCATTATCTACCATTGACTTTTCATCTTTTCACCATTATCACCATTATCATTATCACAATTCTATTAAAAATGGCGTTCATTTACTTATATTTTTTCTTTAGTCTAGACCTATAAACTTTCGGCAAAATTTCTAATAGTTAAATTATCGAATTATTTCATTCAAAAATTCGATTTTAAGTTACCGCCATTTTTAAACTTGGGAATCACGATCGATTACGATATTCGCTCTAAGACCAGCTTCTTATTGCATTGGTAATGGCTGCCATTTTTGTTGCGTGAAATGTGTATGGGCGCGTTGACCGAAGTTAGTGCAATAAACGTTCTTTTCTAATCTTTTCTGTTTTTTCTTGTTTTTATTTATGGGGGCAAAGGTCAGAGGTCTTACGTGAATGCGACACTTGTGGTTCGTTTAATCTCGCGTGGCCATAAATTTAGTTTAAATTGAATAGTAAAATTTTTTTGTAGATTTTTTTTTCATCCCTTCTTTCTTTTTTAATCGTTTTATTTTCATTATTGTCTATTGAAATGAATGAAATGAAATAAATTCAAACGCAAAATAAATATTCATTTTAGTTGTGAAAAATATGGTTTTATTTTTTTTTGTTTCTTTTTTTTTGAGTGAATGAATGAAAAATTATATTTTTAATAAAAAAACAGTAAAATTTTTTTCGGAAAACAAAAAATATCTTAGAAAAAATACTTTGAAAAAATTTTTTTTAATAATTCAAAAGTAGAATTTCGAAATTTCGCTGAAAAAAGAACTTTTTTTTCAAAGTTTTCAGTTTTTCAAACATTGATTAATTTTACTTTGTATAGCGTTTTTTGTTGTTATTTGTTATTCTTGTGGTTTTCGATTGTTTTTTTATCGTTCTTTGGAAATAAATCGATATGTTTATTTATTTTTTAAGTTCATTTTTTTTTAAATGAATGAAAATTGTTGTTTTCGAATGATTTCTAGTGGAAAATAAATTTGAGTTGCGTAAATCGATTTAATGCAACAATTTTCGTCTCGAAAATTTTTTCTTTCTTTTTCGTCGCTAATTCTACGCTGATTTTTTTTCTTTACGTTTTATTTATTTTTACATTTTTAATGTTAGTGTGGTTTATCGATTGAACGGTAAAGTACTCCTCCTGTACGTATTGGGTAACAAAAATATTGATGTTTTCTTTTGATATACTACTTTCGCGATTTTAATTACGAATTGTTTTGATTCAATTGCATTATACTGTTGTTTAATCGGTTGTGAATTATTGTGAATTATTGCTGCTTTGCCTTTAATTTTAATTTGATAATTATTTTTAATTAGTTCAGTTCAAGCATGGAAGATAGAAAATTGCTATTTGTCGAATTATTTGTTGTGATAATTCTGAATTCTGAAATGATAGATGATAATATATGATATCAAACATTGCGGTCCATTTGCGTATTATACTGTTATGTTGTTGGTAGATAATTTTCATTGAACGGTTACAATAATAATAACACTGATAATTGTTTTATGTTTACTGAACGGACAAATGTTTAGTGCACTTTAGTTCATCGCTTTTATTATTTTTATTTGAGAATTTTTTTACTTTTTCGAAAATTTTTTATTTCAGCAATCTTAAAATTTTTGTTTTTTCCAAATTTGATTTTTTGATAAAATAATTCATATTAAATAATGAAAAGACAAAAATCTTTTATTGATTAACGAGAAAAAAGAAAAAAGTATTTCGAAATTTTATTTTTATTATTTTAATCGTTGTTTGTTCTTATTTTTCGTATTAGGAAAGGAAGTCGTTTTACTCGTTTTTCGCTTTTTTTTTTCATTATTTTTGGTATAAAATTTATTTGTACGAAAATATTTTCAGCTAAAGCAGAAACTGTTTCCAAAAAATTTTTCTCAATTGTTCGTTGTGAAAAGGTTCATTATTCACGTCAGGAAACATATTTTCAACAATTATTGTTATCATATTCTCGAAATTTTATTTTATATCAGTTTGTGGAATCGCAGTTCTAGTCAGCCGATTGCTGCTAAATCGAACTGCGTATTTACTATATATTCATCAATTATTCACTGCTAATTAATAATTGTGAATTTTTAAGGCCATATTGTTAACGGCCGAGTAATTCGAGCAATAGGCGGCGATCTAGGATCGATTTCACGCTCTAGTGAATTGGCGGTCTAGGATCGGTTCTAAGACAGCTGTAAAGAGGAATTAGGACCAATTTAACGTTATTTGCAAGGCGGCCTATGGGCCTGGCCTTATTTTTAATATTTTGATAAACTATTGTTTTTTATTTCAAACGATTATCCGGGAATGGCAGACGTAATGGATCCACCAGCAAAAAAGCCGAAACTGTCATCACCATCAGGTATTTTTTAGTGATTTAACAATAAATCAATTGATCATTACATGAAAATTTCTTTGTCATCGACAGATATAAAAGGTTGTGTTTTTTTTTGTAGATAAACTTTTTTTTGCTGCATATTATGTTCTTTTTATTTTAGAATACGAAGACGAAACGCTGGCTCAGCTAGAAAAAATGGAGCCTTTGCCATCAAGCCAGTCACAAGCTTCAGGGACCGGTTCTTCAATAGACTCATCACAGCAACCTTCTAGCGTCCATATGCCTGTATTCATTTACTAGCTTTTTTATCTTTGACAAACAGTCAAAGAAAAAAATGTTTACATATTAGGCTTAACTTTTATTCATCTTATAGCTTAGTAATGGACCATCATCGATGAATGCGGGTAGCGTTTCTGCAAGTTCGACTGCTGTTGGTTTTAGTGGACCTGGATCTCAGTCACAATCAAGTGGTCCATCTCAGGCTCACTGTGCATCAAATCAGCAGAATCAGCCTAGCGTTTTACAAGAATTGTTATTAAATCCTAGTAATCCGAGTGTTCAAGCAGTTAATAGTCCTAGGCCAGCCTACTCTACTCCATTTCAAACAAGGTTAATCATTTATAATTCTTTGATAGATTGTAAAAAAAATTTAATGTATTGATTTATTCATCTATTCATAGGTTTTTGATCAAAATATATTATTTTTAGGAGTCCATTAACGAGTGCTGCTAGTATGATATCTCCAGCAAATTGCCCACAGAGCATGACAGTGTCTGGCGGACCTACAGGGCCTCGCGGTTTAAGGGCTGCCGGACCGCAGATGTTCAATCCAGCAGGTCATCCAGACATGGGACAGTTACAATCGGTAAAAAAGTCACTTTAAACCGATGGCGTGATGTTTATTGATTTATTGATTGTATACATTACCTTTCTTCTTTTATTTTATTTTATTTTTGAACTGCCATTTTGTTTAGGTAAATGCAACACAAATAAATCATAATCAACAAAATAGTTATCAGTTAATGGCCCATGGAACTCAGCAACCACCTCATTCCATTCCTTTTGGCTATCAGCAGCAACAGCAACAGCAGCAACCTTTACCTGGTTTATTTTTTAATCGGATTCCTTTCCTATTGGTTCGAATTAGATGTGCCTTTAAATAATTTTTTTGAATTTTTATTTAGGTTCTCGACCTGTATATGGGAGTAATATGCGTGGAAATACTCCTCAGTCAACTGGAATGAGTCGTGGAGGTGGTTCGATTATGATGAATGGTGCCGGGAATCCACCACCCAGGATGAGAGGTACCCATCCTGGTAAAGTTCCCAGTTGTCGCCAGATGACTGTGCCACGAGTTTATCCCAGTGAGTTATTATTAATATTATTATGTTCGTATTATAAAAGTTTGAAGAAATTATTAGTCTAATTTTTTAATTTTATCGGTATAAAATTTAGATATGGTGACTATGCAGCCTGGAAGTGGAGGGCAGATTATGCGGAATATGATTGTACATAACCCACAATTTGAACAGAGTACTTACGTTTTGCCAATAGCTAGTGGGAATGTGTCTCGTGCTCAAGATCCTTACGGAATGCAACAAACGCAGCAAGGAGTAAGTAAACTGTCCTTTAAAATTCATTTTTTTTAGCATTTTTTGCTTTTTTTATCAGAAATTAAATTTTTTATATAAAATTCATCTTATATTCAAATCTTGAATTCTTAGCAGCAGCAGTCTATGTCATCACCAGGCTATGTACATCTTTCATCTGGTCATATAAATGCCAGGAATCAATCAATAGCTTTTAGTAATCAATCGAGTGGACAACCAGGGATACAATCACAAGCTAATGTAGATTTTGAATATCGTCAATTATTTTTCGATCACGATGTTAATATTACTTTAGCTTTTATGTGTCAATGTTTTGTTAATTTCTTGCATATATCTTAGATAATGTCACATATGGTAGATCATCAGATGATACCTCAACCACAGGCTCAGTCAACTCAAGGATTAGGAAATGTTATGCAGCCTGTTAATACGGGGTCTTCTAATTCAATGAATGCTCCACCTAATGCATTAAATACTTCAAGTGCGCCTATGGCAGCTTCATCAAAATCTCTTTTGACTGGAGTGCCAACGCAAATGCCTGTTTCAAGTTCTGCTTCAAATTTGACTTCGCAGGTTTTTAATCTTAATATAACATTAATTAGTAAGTTATCTGTAAATTTTTTTAATCTTCATATACCACTGAATTTTTAGCAGTTTTCTGCAATGGGCAATCCACCGTCCCGAGATGGCAGTAATCCAGGCTCTAATTTGCCTCCTTCTGGACAAGGTGGTCAGGATCCAGAAAAAAGAAAGCTCATTCAGCAACAGCTTGTTCTTTTGTTGCACGCACATAAATGTCAACAGCGGGAAAGAAGTGGTGGGGTGAGCAGCTTTCAACAGATTTTTCATATTCAAATTGTTTTTCTCATTTCCATCCTCTCATTTTTTTGTTGAACTATTTTTTATTTTGGAAGGATTATAAATGGCTTACATATTAAAAAAAATGATGAAACTAATTTTTGTATTTTAGGATAATGGGCGCTCAGCATGTACTTTGCCACATTGTTCCACTATGAAAGAAGTGCTTACACATATGACATCGTGTTCGAGTGGTCGATCATGCACTTGTAAATATTTCATATATTTCATTGTCGTTATAAAAAAATGTTTCAAGAAAATAAATCTAAAATTTAGACATTTTAATATTGCCAAAGCAGAACAAAATAATTATAATTCTATAAGGTACTGAAATTTTTGATTTTTAGATGCTCACTGTGCATCTTCTCGACAGATCATATCGCACTGGAAAAATTGTGTACGCGAGGATTGTCCAGTATGTAAACCGCTGAAGAATATCCAAAACACATCTGGAGCAGATCGTCGTCCAGTCGTGAACCAAGTCCCAGGTATTTTTCGTTTTTATTTTTTCCCACCATTTACCAGCTATTAAAATGTATATATGCAATATATATATGTAAAAGTTATTGAACTTTTCCTTTAAAATTCTATATTTAAGGTGACAATTTTGTTCCTGGTTCACTTCCTGCTCACTCTTCAGTTAATGCAACTTCTGTAGATCCTAATATATCATCTAATCGTTCACAAGTGACAAGTTCTACAAGTTCTTTGCAACCACCTTCTTCAAATTCAAATGCTGGTTTCGGGTCTCCTATGCCACCAACAACTAGTTCTTTACTTGTGGATTATAATCCACCTAGGTTAAATTTCTATCCTTTTTCAATTTTATTGAACAAAAGCCAAATGATTACTGGCTAATTCAGTAGCTTTCTGCTTTTGAAAATTATGCACTATATTTGCAGGTCAGAATGCGATCCGTTCAGATCACCCAATCCTCCTAATAAAATTCTGAGCGGCAAGAATACTGACGCTGATGCCATAAGATCACTGCCACCGCCCGATGCTCCAGCAGTTGGCAAAGAATGGCATGCTAGCGTTACGAGAGATCTTCGAAATCATTTAGTAGGAAAACTTGTGCGTGCAATCTTCCCTGCTCCTGATCCTCATGCTATGGCTGATCAACGAATACGAGATTTAATATGTTATGCTAGAAAGGTTGAAAAAGATATGTTCGAAATGGCAAATGACCGGGTAAATCATTTCTTATATTAATTCATTAAATAAATATTTTTATTATTAATTTTTAAAATGAAATATTAAGTGCTTATCGATTTATATAAGTTAATCTTGAGTTATTGTTCAAATATTGAAAAAAATGTTAAGAATATGCAATTTTTTCTATAAGTTAAACTTCTTTTTCTTTTTGTGAAAAAACTTTTCATTTCTTAGTTATATAATTTTAGGAAGAGTATTATCATCTGTTGGCTGAGAAGATCTACAAAATTCAAAAGGAATTGCAAGAAAAAAAGCATAAAAGGATGAGCGATCAAAATATGTTAAGCGCTACTCAGACCTCCCAGCTTTGTCAGTTTTTTTCTAAATTGAGATTTTCGCTTTTTAGGTATTGTAATGCTAGAATATCTAGAAATATAATTGCATGATCAATTGAAGAGGCTTTTTTTGTGGCTTTAATGAAGCTCAATGAGCAGCATTTATTTTTTTTTTGCGAGTTAGAGGCTAATATTGTTTAATAGGTGATATATTAATGGTTTTTTCATTTTTTAATAATTATGAAAGCGGTTGAATGGAGTAGCATTAATATGTTCAAGGATAATGGGAAATATTAATAGGTAAGGTAAAAATATACATATATATATGTATATATATAGTGAGTATTACTATTTATTATCTTGCAATATTTTAAGCTATGCTTGATTTGGATAACGTGGCTCCTCCTAATCGTAACGCATATCAAATGAATGTTCTCAACAGTTCGGGGCAGCTTAATACCACACTTTCCGGTAGTGTTTTCTTATTATTTAATAATTTATAATTTATAATTTTAAATTAATTTAAAATTATTGTTTTTGGAATTTAATAGGACAATTTTATAGCGATTTCTAATATTTCGGCTAACGGCAATCATTCAGTTACTGGTACAAAAACTGAAACGATAGAACTCCCGCAATCGAGTACTAATACTTCTGTAGAATTGGATGATGGTTGTAGTGGAGGATGTTCTTGTGAGTATCACATTTTTATATTTCCCTTAATTTTTTGACATTCATTTTATTTTTCAAGAAGTTTAATCTTCATGGCCCAAATATTGAAATCTATTTATGAAGTGGCTAGTCTATGAAATTTAATTTTCTACTTTTGATGCTGGAAAGAGCGAATTAAATTTTTTTTATCAGTTTGATCAATTTATAACTGGAAATTTATAGCTTTAGTTTTATTTTTATAATTGTGACGATTCCGATTTTAACTCATGTTTTCTGGTTTGTGTCCACCGAATAGTATATATATATATATATATATATATATATATAGATCTTTTGACTCGAAGAGTTGTATTTGACCGTACTACTCTTGAAAGAATTGGTTAAATGATGAAAATTTCGCTGATATTTTTTGAATTTTAAAAATTATTTTTTTATTAAAGATTATTATTAAAGTGTAGAAAAATGATGGTGGAAATTTTCTCAATAGATAGCGATGGATATTTCAAACTTAATCAAACTTTCCTTTCATAAAAAAGAATTATAGTGAGGAAGAAAAAAAAAACATGGCAAGAAAAGTTTGAAAAAGTTTCAATAAATAAAATCGATTAAATTGGAATAATCTAATAAAAATTTATTTTAAAATTTGTGGTGAAAAAAATATTCGTGATAATAAAATTTACAATAAATTTTTGTTGAAGTCTTCTATGCGGTCCTTTTACATCAGCTATTATTAACTTAATTATGTTAGGCTTAATAGGGAGGAATTTGTTTTTGAAAGTGGTAATTCTTGAACATAATTGTTTTGTATGATTTTTTCAACTCTAAACTTTAGCTTCTCTTTTTTTAGTTATACTTAATATTTCGAAATTCAGTAATACTTTTCTGATTTGGTTGACTTGTAATTTGGCACAACATCAAAAAAAATCGTTTTTTTTCGAAATTTTTCTGAATTCCTGGAACTTTCAACTTGAATTAATCTAGAATTCTGAGTTTGTTTGGTGGTTTATTGATGACGCAGAAATGAAAATGCGGGAGCAGCAAGAATCTACGAATTTGTAGGATTTAATAAATGATTTCGCAACCGTTTCATCATTTAATATTCTATTTTATATTTTTGTTGTCAGTGGTAGATGTTTTTTAAAGTATTTTTACATCTCTCTTATTTTGCTTAAACATATTGGTTTAGCAAAGGTAAAATCCATTTGTTATTATGAACTGTTGAGCTTTATTTTTGATATAGGTAATAGCTTTTTCTTTTATATTGGCAAATCGGATTCTTTAAATTACGGGTACCGTATGGTGCTTGAATATGATAAGTGAAAAAATAGTATAGTCCATATTTTTTTGTGGTGAATGGAGATAGTAAATATTATTGTTCTTAATGGAGATTTAAAAAAAAATTGTAAATTTTCGCTACTTTATTACTATTTTATAGCAAAGCCCGGATCATCGAATAGCATTCCTGGAAAAATTCAATCATTTTCCATTAAAAATGAAACCATTCCGGTAAAAATGGAACAGCATATGGAAATTCCTGACAGTAAGAGTGATTTGCCGGAAAAGGTTTATATTTATATTTATAATTAATGCGATTATAATTAATTTTACGATTATTTATAATTATTTTATTTTATGATTATTTATAATTAATTATTAATTCGAATTCTTCTTTTAACATATTTAGCATACATTTAGATTTCAAGAAAATTTTTCCTTGTTTCATTGCTTCATTTTTAATATTTAATATTTTTAATAGTTTTTCAGTTTTTCAAATTTAATATTGTATATTGCCAAACATCTTTTTGATTTTAGGTGTTCGATGCGAATGAGCTGCGTAGTTATTTGAAACCAATTTTAGAAAGGATACATAAAATGGATGAATCTATTCCTTTTCGAATACCTGTTGATCCTGTTATACTTGAGATTCCGGTTTGTTTCTTTTTAAGTTGATATGCATTGGAATTTACTAGTGGGTTTTTTAGATTGTAATTGTAAATTTTTTAAAATTAATTGTAAGATTTTTTATTTTTTTAACAATATTGTTTCTGTTCTCAGTGCTCGATTCTTTAATATTTTAATATTTTTTAAGGATTATTTTGATATCGTCAAGAAACCAATGGATCTACAAACAATTGGCACTAAGTTAGATACGGGTTTATATAATAATCCACGGGAATTTTGTGATGATATGTGGTTAATGTTTGAAAATGCATGGACTTACAATCGTAAAAATTCTAAAGTTTACAAATTTTCGACTAAGGTATGTATGGAGCGAGCTTTTTCGTTATGTTTCATTATGATATTTTATAAGCTTGATATTCATAGTTTGGCAGAATTTTTTATTTTTTATTTTCTGTTAAATTATAAATTAAAAAAGGCTTAATTCTTATTACCACTGATGTTATTTAATATTATTTAATATTTTAGCTTAGCGAATTCTTCGCTGAAGAAATCAATCCTGTAATGCAAAAAATGGGTTACTGTTGTGGCAATAAACTTTCTTTTACTCCATTAGCACTTTTTTGCTACGGGCAGTCAATGTGCACTATAGCTCGAGATCAGCCATACATGGTCTATGAAAATAGGTTTGTTCAAACGATTCAAACGACTTTTTTACTTAAATGAAAAATATTGATACAGGGGAAAAATTTCTATCGACAGCTTTATTGTACTTCAAATAAAATTTCTTCGAATTTTTCATTTTTTCATTTCACTAATAGAATCTTCATTATTTGTGTTTTCATTCTTTTTCCTTTTGTTTTATATTTTGGTTCAAGATTTTTTGATTAATAACTTTAAACATCCTTTATCTTTTAGTACTTCACAATTCAATGTCGTAGTAAATGAGCGATATACTTATTGTTTGAAGTGTTTTGAATCATTGCCGGAGGCTGGAATAAATTTGAGCGATAATCCGAATGATACGGCTAAGTAAGTTTTTAAATTATCTGAAATTTAATTTAAAATAGAGACTGAAGGGATTGTTTCAAAGGAAGAAAGAAATGAAGAAAAATGTTGATTCCTTGTATTTTAATTATGCAATTTTAGTATGGTACCTAAATCGAAATTTAAATTAATGAAAAATGACCAAATCGACCACGAACCGCTAGAGAAATGCAAATTTTGTTATCGTAATATACATCGGATTTGTGCCATATATAATAAATTGGTATAATTGCTATCTTTGATTTTCTTACTTTCAACGTTTTAAAATTTTTTCTTTAAATCGATATTCAGATTTTCCCTTCAATTAATTCTTATTTAGGTTTTTCCTGATGGATTTATTTGTGATGCATGTCGAAAGGAGAGAAATTTGACTGCACCAGAAAATCGATTTACTGCTAAAAAGCTTCCTCACTGTAATTTATCGAAGTTTGTTGAAGAGAGGGTGAACAAATTCTTAAGAAGCAATCCAATGGGCAAAGATCTTGAAGTGATCATACGCGTATTGTGCGCGACAGATAAAGAAGTCGAAGTAAAGACACTTATGAAGGCGAAGTAAGTATTCTTGATTAAGTTGCTTTGCCATTTTTTTTGTGAAAAAGATTTTATTTTGTCAGCCATGGTTTAATTTTCACCTTTCAACTTTATCTTATTGCCATGAATGCAACTGAATTCTTCCTATCAGTATTCATCATAATCATTGGAAAAATCATTTTTATCGAATATCATCACTCTTTATCATTTTACCATTTTATCACTTTAATATTAATTTTTAATTAATATTTAGATATGGTGCGCTAGGTTTTCCGGAAAAATTTCCATATCGATCTAAAGCCATTTTTGCATTTGAAGTTATTGACGGTGTAGAAGTATGTTTTTTCGGTCTTCATGTGCAAGAATACGGAAGTAATTGTCCAGCGCCTAATCAAAGGTATTAATCATTTCAATCACATTCTTTCGTCACTTCTTTTATCCGACTTTTTTTTTCATTTGTAAAATATTTCTCTCCATGTCCAAAATTTCGTTTTTAGGCGAGTTTATATCGCGTATTTGGATTCGGTCAATTTCTTCCAACCGCGAGCAATACGTACAGATGTATATCATGAGATTCTCTTGGGTTATCTTCAGTATGCTATGCTTATGGGTTATACTATGGCGCATATATGGGCGTGCCCTCCTTCTGAGGGTGATGATTACATTTTTCATTGTCATCCTCCTGATATGAAGATTCCTAAACCAAAGAGGCTACAAGATTGGTATAAAAAATTGTTGGAGAAAGGTATAGCAGAAAATATAGTATTCTGCTTCAAGGATATATATAGACAGGTTTTTTCATTAATTTTTATTGTTTTAATGATTGTTTGATTCATTTTGATATGCAATTTTCTTATTAAGCATCAAACGGTAATTTGAAAAGTTTGTTCAGTTTTTCGATTTTATTTTCGCAAGGAACTACATGTTGAGCGATTGATTTATGCGGGAACCAATTGTTGGCAAACTTTCCACTCACGTGATCTGCGTGTCTTATTTTCCACAATGTCGGGCCATTTTTAAGCAGGTTCTTAAAGTACAGTGAAAAATATATAAATATTAAAGTTCATGTTATTATCTATCTTCCAGTGAACCTATGAGCAGCTGGGATCTGCTTGAAAATTTTCTTTCTCCTAAATTTCTCATATCTCTCTAAGTCTTTCCAATAGAAGCGGGTTTCAAGTGTGCTGCACCACAAACATTCTGCAGATATATTCTGTACACTTATTCATAGTGAAGGTTCTTATTGTTCTTTAGAGGTCGAATTTAAGGCTCATCCACATACATCTTTGATGGCTAAAAATAGGTTCTAGTTTTCATGCGTATTCTATGTTCTTCAGGGAATGTGCTTGCTCGATTATCATTTTTTTTGATTCAGTAAGTTCAGTTGAGAATGCTTTCTTCACTGTTGGAACATTAATAATTTTACAGTGGCATTTACAAATTCAAATTTATATCTTAAGAAGAGGTTACAGATTTTAATCATTATTTTCCTGGAATAATTATAAGCCGAAAAACTGCACAAATTTTTTTGATTACATCGTATTTTTGAATTGGATTCTGAATTCTTATATTGTTTTGTTGTTATTAAGTTTACATTGGAAAATTTCGTAATGATTAATCAGTCTTGATTCGTGTTGTTGATGCTTCTGCAAGTCTTAATTTACAGGCACGAGATGATAATCTGCTCACCCCTATGGCTTTACCGTATTTCGAAGGGGATTTTTGGCCAAATGTTATTGAAGATTGTATTCGTGAAGTTGAGAATGAAGAGCAAGAGCGTAAACGCCAAGAAGAATTGCAACAGAATGGTGAAGATGATGATGAACATGATGCTTTTGGTTCAACGGATGGTGGAAAAAGTAGCAAGAAAAATATGTATGTTGTTCACAATTAAACTAAATTACTGATCATTCCTAACCAAAGAAATATTTTTTGATATTTCAGTATTTTAGCCTGCAAAGGCTTTTAAAATTAAAAGCAAAATTTCTACTCGAAAGTTTTCAATATATTAATTTTAAAAAAATTTTCAGAAAAAGGAAGAATAATTTGAAAAAGAACATGAAAAGCAAGAAAAAAATTTGTTCGATAACTGGTGACGAGGTTACTGATAAATTATATAGCAATTTCGACAAACATAAAGAAGTTTTCTTTACAATCCGTCTTATGTCACCGCAATCGGAACTTACTGCTCAAAACTCCGAAATAAAGGTTTGAAACTGATTCTTTTTTTCCTCTGAAATTTCTTAAATTTTTAATATAGTATTTTAGGACCCTGATGGAATATATAATTGTGATTTAATGGATGGTCGTGATACATTTTTAACACGAGCACGCGATGAACACTGGGAATTTTCGTCATTAAGGCGTGCCAAATATTCGACTATGTGCTTTTGTCAAGCATTGCACACCCAAGATAAAAGCCAAGGCCTATCTTACACTTGTAATAAATGTCAAAAAGCAGCTCACTGGCATTGTAACACTTGCGAGGTACCTTTTTAAGATAAGAGATTTACTGAAAAATTTTATATGAAATTAAAAAGTGATAAGTATTTCATGAATCTCGTTGGTTTTCATGCTCATGGAGATTTTTTTCTACTCGAAATCGATTTAGTTTCAATTTTTTAAACAAATTATAGGACTTTGATCTCTGCAATCAGTGCTATCAGTTATCGAGACACGAACATGATCTGGAGAAAGTTAGTGTTTTAGTGGAGGTCAATGAGGATCGTCCAAATTCCTCTGCTGGACGTTTGGAAAGTATTCAGCGGTGTATTCAATCTTTGGTTCATGCGTGTCAATGCCGTGATGCTAATTGTCGTCGTCCATCTTGTAAGAATATGAAACGTGTGGTAATGCACGCAAGATCGTGCAGAAAGCGCTCGAGTGCAACATGTCCAATTTGCAAACAGTTAATCGCATTATGTTGTTATCACGCTAAACATTGCGATGGTAATGCTTGCAGTGTAAGTTTTCACTTTTTTTTATTTTATACATTTTATTTTTATATCATTTTATATTGGGTTTTGTCGGCATATTATCCGATTTAATCACAGGGCAATTCGTAAAAATTCTTTATCAGGTGCCATTCTGCTCGAATATTCGCAAAAAACTTCAAGATCAGAAACGTTCCATGACACGACGAGCTGATATGTTGATGAGGCGACGAATGGATATGCTTCAAGCTGGAAGTAGTGCTAGCACCACCAATAGTGTCACATCGACTCAAAGTGATTTTAAAAATTTATTTCAAATGAAAAACAAGTAAAGAGGCAGGTTTTGAATCTAATATATTCTTTAGATCAGACATATGTCGTGGGTAATAAACCAGCTATTGGTCAAGGGAACATGGTGCATATGCAAGCTCAAGGCAGTGCCTTAGGTCATATGAGCGGTTCCTTACAATCTGTGCCAATAGTGTCACCTCAGACATTAATGCCTATTGGTCAATCTCAGCAGCATGTGGGTCAGGTGCAGCAGGTGCATTCTCAGCAGTATGCTTCCCATGGAAAAGGTGTGTCTAAATTTATGTTCTTAAATTTATATTCCTGTTATTAAACAAGAGCTTCTCTTGTTCATTAATTTGATCGAATGATGTTATTTTGTATTTTATAGACTTGAAGTCAAATTTCTTCGTAGGTCAACCTGGAAGCACAATACCGGGAAATGTATCGATAATCAATGCTTCGACAGGCGTCCACCAATCCCATGGTAAAGGGCAGAATCATCAACAAGGATCCCAGTCTCATCAGCAAAACGTTCGATTACACATGGTAATAATTTGTTTTTTAAAACTTATTGTTTGCCATTTTTAATAAGCATAAATTTTGTTTCTGTTTTGCTAAAAACCCAACGCACTGAAAATTAACCCACTAAAAATGAAAGAATTATTTCGTATTCGGAAAAGATTGGGTTACTCTTTGCTGCAATACTCGAACATTTAGTATAATATAATCTTCATGGTCGAGTCTGTTGTATTGTGTCTATACATTTAAATAGGACACTTATCATACATTGAATATTCAGGCATCGCAGATAAGTGGAATGCAAAGACAGTCTATCAATCCACAAAGCCAGCAGTCGGCACCGCAAACACTGAATCCTCCTCCATATATCCGAGCTGGACCTCAACAAGGCGGGTATGGTATTTCTGGGCCGAGTCCATCAACACCATATGGTGGAACTGGTCAGTCTATGATTATAAATCAAACATCGATTCAGCAAGGTCCGCAATTGCAGCAAATGATGCATCAGCAAGGTGTTCGACGTATGTCTTCATTTTTTTATTTATCTGCATAAATCATGTACATCATGTACTTTATTAATTATATTCAAAGTCGTTGTTGAATTTTTTTTATTTATTTCAAATGTTGTCTTTAATGATTTCATTTACAGAAAAAATATATGCTGGTCAAGTATTGGAATCTAATCGTAGCGTGACTCAACCACATGAACAGCATCAGTTGCAAATTATATTGGAAAGATTAAAGAATGCTCGCACACCAGAAGAAAAAGAACAGGTTTTCGGCGATCTCAAAAAGATGCCCCATCTTTTTGCTGCATTCATTAAAATGAAAGGGAATGGGGATCTTAGCCAGGTTATTTTTCAAGATTTTCCTCTTTTTGAAATGTAATTTTTAAGGCTAGTGAGGATTGGAAATATTTGAAATAATAAATTGGAAATTGGAAATATTGGAAATATCTGAGATTTTTGAATTCTGAAAATTTCCATTCTAGGTACAGAGCGGGCAGGGTATCGTGCAGCAGCAAATGGGCACTGTCCAACAAAGTGGGCAAGGCATGACACAACACAACATGCAGCAACAGCATAGCATGATGCGACAGTCTCAAGTATTATTTTTTTTAAACATCTGGTCTCGAACTTTAACAATCAGTTTTCAATATGATTGCACTTTCATCTTATAGCTTGTTAATCAGCAAGGAAACCAGTGGCAGCAACAAAGTACAATAAGTCCACAGACTCAACAGTTTTATCAGCAGCAAACAAATAACCCACAAAGTGGGCAGACACAACAGCAGAGAGGAGCAACTAGTCAGTATCCATTGATTTCTCAGTCGCAAGTATCAAATGCCTCAACGGGTCAAGCCCAACCACAGTGGCAGCAGCAATTTCAACGAAATCCTGTGAGTCCAGCAATGCAACAGCAATTTAGCCAGGTTTCTTTTCACTTAAATTTTCATTTTAATTGAAATTAAAATTTATTGATACAAAAGTTTCGCTGATTAATAAATAAATTGGATGAAAAATATGGGAAAATTAAAAATACTATAAAAAGCATGGAAATAAAGATCAAGTTTTTGAAAGTTCAGTTCTCCATTTAGGTTCGATCGCCAACAATAAATCGGTCTCCATCTGTAAGTGGTTTAACTCCTTCCCCAATGATGCATCCTAGTGGTACTACTATACAACAAATGCAACAGCAGTTACCACCACAGGGACCGCAGGAGCAACAGAATTATCGGTAACCACTCTTGACAGTGCTGCGCCTGTTTTTCAATCGCTGTTGATTTTTCAGTACCGGTTTGCCAACGGTTGAATTTTCCTGCTGCTTTAATTAAGATTCTGTTTAGTTTAACTGGCTAATGCAGTTAAATTTTTTGTTATATCTCCACTGTTGTGAAATCGTGGATATTTAACAAGCTGTGCGAGAAACTGACGAATTGTGGTTTTATTTAAAATTTTCAATACTTTTGGCCATGAAAAATTTTCACTCGTCAGCAGTCTCGAATTGCTTTTTTTTTCCAAACGGGTCCTTATACGGCTCATAAAAATCTATGCCTGGAGTCGCTATTTTGGGTGTCATCTTATGATCTGATGTCTTTTATCTTTGCACGTTGTTATTTATTGTTGACATTATTTATGCAAACGTTGTTTGGAATATACTGATATCTTTATATTTGCCTTGCATGAGGTATTTTTTGCTGCTATTCATAAGTGCAGAATTTTGCAAGTTTTTTAATTTTCTAAGCTTTGTTCGAATTGTGTTTTATTTAGTTCGTTTAGAGAAATGATGATTGTTTCTTTTTTTAGTCTGGATTTGTTTTATAGTTTCATAGTTGTTTATGAATTGTACTAACAGTTAACTCCTCCACTTTCTCTTATTTCGTTTTACCTACTTCCTGTCTGATATCTGCGGTAAAGTATTCGAGAGATGTCAGGCTTGCTGCGCGAATATTCAACATTGTCTGCCAAAATCGTTGTTTGTACATAAAAATGATCTGTTTGCGCCTGTGGCGCGTATTTCGCTATGTTTTAATTCTTCACAATTATCTAAAATATGCCTCGCTTTCAATTTGTGCAAGTTTGTTGTGGTGGAGTTACTTATTTATTAGGAAGATGTAGAAAGAGAGGCATTAATTCCTATTGAATGGTTGAGTTTTCGTTTACTGTTTGGGATTAGTGATTGGGATCATATAAAATTTATTGAAATTTATTTAGCAAATATGGCTGATTGAAATCTAGATGAATGAATGTAAATGTTTAATTTACTGTTGAAATTCATTCGCTAATTTGTTTACATTCTGTGATATTTAGTATAGAAGTTTTGCATAAAAATGACTCAAATTTACATCTGTAACTCCGTATGCTGAAACTGTGATGAATCTGTTTATATTGTTCGGTGAATATGTGAGTCATTTATTAGCTGATATGATTAGCAGAAATTAATTTGACACGAGTTAATGTGATCTTAATTCGTTTTAAGGCACAATTGTTCAATGTTAGTTCATGTTGAAATTAATTATTAATTATATTGTTTAGTTGATGGAACTTGTATGTTGTTAAGTGCACTATTTATTGTTTTTAAATTATAAATTTTGTGAATTGCCTAATTTATCACCGTTAATTTACCGTTAAGAAAATTCACCGCTTGCTAATGAAAGTTTCGTTTTCGGATTTGTCTTGATATCTATAGATATCGAATCGTCAAGCAAGTACTACGTTTTTCTTTTTTTTTTTCCTTTTTTACGGCTTGTTTTTATATAATTGTTTTAATATTGTATATAAATTATATATATTATATACATAAATATATGTATATTGAGTTTTTATCTTCGTATTTATATAAAATATTTATAAGAGCGATGAAGAAAATGCACAACAAAAGAGCAGTTGAAAATTATTTAAAAAAAAAAAAAATCATTGAATGGTTTTCTAGAAAATTTTTATGGAATAAATTTTTATCATTTATCATTTATCATTACATGATTAGTTCATTTTTCATTTTCATCATATAAATGTGATCTATGAATTTTTATGGCGTTTAGCTAAATCTTCGTTCAACAAAAATTTACGAACGATGCGAATTGAACATGAAAATCACTAAGGATTTTTTTTTTATTAAAATTACCGCTTTTATGGCCAAAACAAGGAGAAAGCTTGTTTGGTTATCAATTGTTTATGGATCGCTCCATCTAATCGCGTGGATAATGTGGCGTTAAATTACTCTCGTAATAGGATCGTTATAAACGAGTTCTTAAAATTAAACTATTTGGTTTAATTGACGTTTGTGATTTTTCTTTCGAATTGATCTAAAAATGTGAACTGTTTTTGGTAAATTTTATTTTTATACATTTTCAATTACGTGTAAAATAAATTATTTGCCTAAAATAATTTTATCAATTTTATCAATTTTATCATTTAATAATTAAAATTGTTATTAAATTTTTTGTTAAAATGTTATTAATTTTATTAATTTTTTTTATACGAAAAATTATCTTAAATTTTAAAATTAATCTTAATAATAATAATTGATTTGGCTCTTCTTCGATTGGAGGAAATAAATAAAAAAAATAATCTGAAGTTGGATATGAAATAATTTCTGCTAGTCGATTAGCGCTTATATATATATATCTTTATATCATGATATGATAAATGATAATTCTTTAATATTATATATATATATTTTTTTATTGAAATGATAAGAAACTAGATAATTCACTAAATCAAAAATATTATATGGTATTTTAATGAAAGAAAATAAATCCCCTAAAATTTTTTGTACAAAAAAAATTTTATTATAATATAGTAATTGTTCATTATTAGATAGTTATTAATTAGCATTCAAGATTTTTGAAGCGAATATAAAAGTTTAGGCTTTCGATCTCGAAAGACATGACAATCTTTCACGATAATCGTTAGTGACCGTGAAAAAAAAAAATTGTATTGTTTAATGTTCATCAAAATAACTAACTCTACTCATATACGAAAGGATTTTATGACCTTCTTTTGTTTTTCGATTGTTAAGCATCGATAGGATTATCTCCTATTAAATCCCCGAAATTTTTTAAATACAATATTTAATATAATATCTTTTTTTTTTCTTTTTATATAAAAAAAAATCGTATTGTGAAAATTTAAGGCAAAGCGCATTCGGCATATTTCATTTCATTATGAAATGAATTTTTTTTGAAATATTAAATATTTTATTAAAAGAAATATTAAAATATAAAATAATATATAATAAATAATAATAAAAATAATAAATAAAATAAAAAATAAAATAATTTATAAAATTATCAAAAAACGTCTTTTTTTCTTTTTATATGAAAAAATCATATTGTGAAAATTTAAGGCAAAGCGCATTCGGCATATTTCATTATGAAATGAATTTTTTTTGAAATATTAAATATTTTATTAAAAGAAATATTAAAATATAAAATAATATATAATAAATAATGATAAAAATAATAAATAAAATAATAAAAAATAAAAATAAAATAAAGTAATTTATAAAAGTTATTTAAAAAATATATCTTCGCGTCGAAACTCGAAAAATATAAAATAAATAAAATAATAAAAAATAAAAATAAAGTAATTTATAGAAATTATTAAAAAAATATATCTTCGCGTCGAAAATCGAAAAATTTCTACGCTATTTCACTATTCTAAATATAAAAAAGAGAATGAAACATTCATTTATGGATATTTGTTTGATTTCGACAAGAATAAACCTATCTTTGGAAAATTCGAAAGTTTTTTTATAAATGATTCATTTCTATACTTCTAATTTAAGCCAAGAATTTCCATAGTGATAAAGCGACAAGAATTTATCTTTTTTTTTTTTTTTTTAACTCCGAATAACGCGAATAAGCCTAACCATAGCCAAGTTGAACAGCGATTCTATAAGAACAAATCGAATCGAAAAGCTATAGCGAAAAAAAATTTCGTAGAATATTTTCATTTGTTACGATTTTTATTATACAATTGTTATTGCAAAAATTAAAAATTTTAAAATTTTTTTTTTATTGCCTTTTATATAAAATAAAAAATAAAAAGCAAATTTGTTGTATAGAAATAAAAATGAATTAAAATCATTTGAACGCGCCAAAAATTTTTTTTTCAAGAATTTTTTTTTTTCCACGAAAAAATCTATCAAATAAATCGGCTTTTGTAAATTCCCATTAATAGGGAGTATAGATAGTATAGTATAGATAGCTCAGTGGGTTGTTGCTAATCACGGAGCACCGATGCTGAAGTTCAATTCTCTGCGAAAAAAATCCGAGCGATATTGGCGATTCACCTTTATTTCTATCGCCGAGTGATTCTCTGATAACATATTTGTCTAATGCGACAAGCCAGCGGAGCGAGTCTAACCAATAGTGGTAAGGATTCTTTCCTCTCTTAAAAAATAAATTTCACCTTGGTTTACTAAACTATTCAATAATTCGACTAATCAGTTATCAGTTATCAGTTACTATTCAGTAATTTTAAAATTACTATAACTTAGATAACTTTACCTTACCTTTAGCATTATTTTTACTTTTGCTTTTTGCATTATTTTTAGCTTAATCTTATTTTTAAATTTTTTCATAAATTTAAGATTTTTTCATTTCGAAACAATTTTTTTTCGTTTTTTCTTTAAAAAAACAATTCTTTCGAAATTATTTTCATTAAATTATCATTAATTAAATTAGAAAATTTAATCAAAAAACAAAAAAAAATGAAATTAAAATTCATTATTAAAGAAAAAAAAATTAAGAAATTTGAATGCAAGAAAGGATTTTTAATTTTTTTTCTCCTTTTTCTTTTTTTTATCTTCTTTCTCGAATAAATTTAATCGAATGAATGAATTATATAATATTAGATTATTGCACAACTATTGCTTGCAATTGCTTTGGCTTTGGCTAATTTCTTATGCTTTTCGTAAATTAATGGAATGAGGCGAAACGACGAGAGTGAAGGAAGGCAT